ACCGGAGCCAGTGTGAGCAAGGGGTTATGCTGGGTCGGGTCGCAGGGGTAGCAGCTTCAGTAGGGAAGCCCAGACATCCCTCTACCAAGCCACTTGGGCCAGCTCCTCTGGAGGAACCCAGAGACGCTCCTGGGTCAGCTGAGAAACATTGTCCCGCCACCGCGTCCTGGGACTCCCCCTGGGCCTCATCCCGGTGGGACATGTCCATCCCACACGGAGGAACACCTCACCAGGGTTACGCCCGAGCCACCTCAACTGGCTCCTCTCGACGAATACTTAAACCTAATTTAATACATTCTATTTACCTTCTTTTTTTTAAAGGTATAGTAGAAGATTTTATGCAAATATTTTAAAAGACCCGCCCTCTCCACTTTGAAAAAAAATGCATATGCACAACCCTGTACCTGCTCTCGAGAGAGAATGCCAATTAAACATGTGTGAGAGCATGCACCAGCCCATTTCTCCTTGTGCAAGCTTTGTTTAAAAGTTGCTGTTCTCATAGCTCATACTGTACAAGCTTACTGTGCCCTAACATCTGCTCTAACCCCTAAATCCCTCAATCACTATTTAGAGTGGGGACTATATAGTGGACTTCATAGTGAACTCAGTTAACTTACGGTTTGGCCAGATGATCACTGCTATTTGCTCCCCGTTGGTCATGTAACTCCTCCTCTACTGCGTGGTGCCTGTGCCATCTTTGTTATTACTTGCCACTGTTGGGTAGAGACAGCCTATGGCGACAGCAGGCCACTGTGAAAGCAAATCTCATATGCTTTGTGCGGAGAGCAAAGCATATGCCTTAAATAAACATAACACCAGCATGATTGACAATTAGGTGGACCACTTATTTAGGTGAAATCATTAAATTCCTGTTGGGACCAAATCTGATTTTTTTTTTCAGTGTGTATTTCCTATAATCTGAATATATCTTCATAATTATGTGCATCTTTGCCTATTAATGGAGCTAGTAAATGTGGAGGGAGTAGTGGGTGTCAAAATGTACTTGGCAATCACATGATCATAACAAATATTCTTGTTAACTAGTCACTTAATCTGGGTAATCAAATAAAAACCTTCACAACAAAATGATGCATGAGCTATTTGTTCTAAGTAAAACAATCTAAATTTTAAATCAATTATTAAGTAACGGTAGCTGGCTGGGTGGAGAGCTCTGATTAGGCTGTTAAGTGAGACGGCTTCACTCTAAAAGTAGAAAAGAAAAAGAAACTTATCAACAAGAGGAAACACACATTTTAAGTGTTTATTTTTAATCTTAAAAAATTATTTAAAAAAAAAAACTAGATTAATATATTCTTATGAAAGAAAAATTACATTAAGACATTTTCGTCTTTATTCATCTAATTCCGTCATCCCTAAAAGTTCTAAAATAGTTACTAAAGAGACTTTGTTGTCTCTCAGACTTGTGGGCCTTCAGTTTGATTTTTGTTTCTGGATTGGATCTGCACTCATGCTCCATTCTTGGCAAAGCTTAAGATATCTTTTAAAATGTGCACTGTTTTCATTCATCTTTTGGCATCCCATGCCTTGTCATCTCTAATTAGGAGCCTGGCTTTTCCAAAAATAATAGGACGGGAACTGCGTTTTGCCCACTTCTCATAGGCGCACCCTCATAATGACGCATCACAGAAAACCAAATACAGGCTGAGTATTTAAGCTTAAAATAACAATCTTAATTAATAAGGAACAAATATGCAACTCCCTGGCATATTTTATTAAGTAAAATTCTGATTGAAGTAAAAGTGTCCACAAATGTAAAGTGTCCACGAATGTGTCCACACATGTTTTGTTTATGTTTTGTCACCTAAACTAAGAAAGAGCAACACCAAATGAAAGATACATAGTTAATTGATGCATAATTTGCAAGCTCCCTTTACTGAGCTTCTTGTCCATCTCATGATACACCCAATGCATGCAATCATCTGAGTATTTCTGCAGATAACATAAATGATTAATAACCTGCCACTGCTTTGTGCAAAATTTCCTTCTTATAAAACCCATTTTAAGCTCTTTGTAAAGGATCCTAGATACAACTTAGTCCTACAGAAAAAAGCTGAGAAGTTTTTAAACCATGCTAATAATAACAGTTAATGTATACCAGACATGGGCAATGTGGAGTCAACAAGTCATCTCCATGTCATGTATTTGTTCTATTCAACCACTGAAGCAGGTGAGTCCAATTTTCACCGTGAATTAACCTGTGCAGATTGGACTCACCTGGTTAATTGGCTGGGTAGATTAAATACATGACATGGAGATGACTTGTTGACTCCACATTGCCCATATCTGATGTATACAGTACAATCTTTTGTACCTCATGTCTAGTTTTGTTTACTTGTTTTTGTTTGTAGTATATCCTGTCTATCCTCTTTCTTGTGTTTTTAAAGAAGTGATTTTTTTTTTTATGTGGATGAAATGTTGACTTGTCATTCATTCTGAATGAAGAACAGCACATGCCAACTTCCACAAATTCAGAGATGCACATGCAGGCATCATGACAGCGATGCGAACATTGGCACGTATACACTTGCGCCCTGTACAATGTATGAAGTATAAACCGAGCCCCACTCATCTCAATTATCCTCCCTTATAAAATCAAGAACTCTGAGGTCAGCTGATCAGCTTAACTCTCTGTTCCAACAAGTAGTTAAAAATTTAAAAAGAACTGTTTTTTTCCCCCTGAAAATGTATAGATTTTAAAACATTCATTTTTGATACGGCCCTTGCCATAAGCAGCTCGTTTACTGAGGCATTCAATGATTTTTAAAACATTATGAGCTTGTTGGATTTTGCATGAGGGTGGTAGATTTAAATCCTGTAAAGCACTAATTGTTAGATAACTGTATAAAACATGCTACAAAGAGCTTGATTGATTGATTGATTGATTGATTGATTGATTGATTGATTGATTGATTATTACTCTCTTCAGCACAAATGTTATATGTTAATTTAGTTTAAAAAAACATCAATTGGTAACACATTTTGCAGCTTTTTATCTTACGCATTCCAGCCATCGTTTCATTTCATTGTCATAAATGTGACTTATAACCCTGAGATCTAACTAAAGATCTTTCTAAAGATGCTCTCTGAAAACTAATCCTATAAGAAAATATATCATCTGAATAAAATTCAAGTTGAAAGCGAGTGGCATGTTTTAGACAGCAAGTAAATATTCTGTCCTTGCAGAAAATTCTGCAGACAGAAAACTTTAATTGACTTTGAGAGATGTCTGGATTTTAGACAAAAAGGTTATAGCATCTGCACAACTCCAGCTCTTGTCAGTCCAAAAAGTGGTGAAGTAATTTTACTGACCCGGTGTTGTGCAATTGAATAAGAAAGAAAAAAGTCATAAACTCAATATATCAGATGCATACTGCATCCTGTTCTCTGGGAATAAAGTTTTCCAGTTTTTTTTTTTTGGTCAAATTTAGGTCTTTTGGATATGAAACAAAAATAACTATTATCTAAAAAGCCTCTGCCCTGCAGCTTCGAGGGCCGAGTGGAAGGAACAGCACCCTTCAAGTTGTGAACAAACACTTCAAAATAATGAATGTTTGTACAAAATCTTAACTTTACCTATGGCTCTCTAACAGTGTAATCTGGATTCTTTGCTCACTCCTTTTGACAACCTAATATAAATCTCAGTCCTCATCCTGGGTTGTCTCTCACAGTTCTAGCTATTTAAACCTTTTTTTACTTTTTTAATTGTCAGAGCATTTGCTGACCTGAGGAAAGCAGGAGACAATAAATAAACTCAAGGGAGGAGATGGAAATATTTATCAATGTTAAGTTGTAATTTTTTTTGTATTATTATTATTATTTTTTAGTCCTGCTTTGCATAAAATCATAAATACAAAAAATTGATTCTTGGGTAAAAGAATGTCACCACATCTAATTAGAAAAAAATCCTGACACTTAAATTGTTTTTTTCTCTTTTTTAAACATTTTCTCCCAACTGGTTGTGATAACATAAACTCCACTACCTAAAAGTTTGTCCTTTTAAGTCCAGATATCCAGTCAGAAAATATTACTGAACAAAGGTGCTGCAACCTAATCCAAAAATATTCAATTAAACGAATGTAATGTAATGTAAATGTAAAGGAACATATAAAATAAAAACTTTTAAGACAAATAGACATAAATCATTTATCAAATCTTAATTTTTTTATATATTATGTATCTTACCCTGCAAAAACGTAACTTCTGACTAAATACAGTGTCATTACAGGGTTGCTGATTATTACGCTGCAAGAAAAGATTCAAATACTTAAATAATCATAAATGGTTTTAATAAACAATGCTTAAAAATTCTGAGGAAGTGTTTCCTGGTAAAATTTAAAATTATATATTTATAACAAATTTATTAAACAGTTAAATAGTTTTCATTTGCTTAATGTATTCAATCACATCTTAATGTATTTTGTTTTTGTTTCATACACACAAATAGACAATCAATCTAAAACACACCAAAGAACAATAAACGCATGAGCCCACCGGATGCTGTGAAGGATTTCTTTTCCTCATTGTCAGGTGATAATTGTCAAAGCTGCAGCGATGGTTTAATGAGGGGTCAAAGATTTCTGATAAGAAACAGCAGTTTTATGGCACCTGCTGCAACCTGCAACTCGCTGATAGCTGCTTGAAATGGCTGACCTCTGACCCTCGTTGGATCGAGCGATCAACAACCCGAGTCATTTAGATAAGTCTGATTGGAGCAAGTGAAGGATTTGTATGTCACACTGAAATATTGAAGAAGAAGCAAGAATAAATTGTTCTTAATGATCACAACTGGCCGCTATTAGTTTTCACAGCCATTAAATTGATGCCAGATATCAAACTGTTTAAGAGTAGATTCATGGTATCATTTCTGATTGAACTGATATCTTAAGTTATCAGCATAATAAGGAATTACATTGTAAGTGAATAAATACTCTGATACTTATACTGTTTGTCCATATTTTCTTTCTGTCTGTCTCTTCCAGCTATGTGACCGTTACCAGTGAATTTGGATCGTCCAGTGGAGATGATGATTTACAGATAGCCCCTTGTCTCTTCTCTTTACTGGCCATCATTACATCCAGCACTGGGAGAAAAGGCACTGCAAGCAAGAAAAAAAAAAGGACCTCAAAGGAAATGTGAAAAAGCTAAAGTTTGCTTTACCATGTGATTATAAAGCCCTTCAAACTCCTCAGTGACATGATCCCTGCATCCGATTGCCTTTGTTTGGTGTTAAAATGATTTTAGGGCATCAGGAATATGCACAGACAAACCGTGCCTTGCATAAGTATTGATACCCTTTGCATAGTTGTAAAGCAGATGTGAAAGGATCATTTGGCTTTTAAGTAGTTTTTCTAGTTTAGACACATGTTGCATGCATTTATCCATTCCATTTAGTCAGACATGTATCCTCTATAAAATCCAGTGTAAAAAGTGTGTCACCAACCTGCTTATGTAGATATATTTTACTACAGTGTAATGTGATCTTAACAAAAAAAAATGCTGTTTGGTAAAGGCCCTGGAGGGACTAACAGCTCCATATAGAAATATGCTGCAGGCATCCAGGGGAAAAGTGCTTTGAAATAGAAAAATTGTGGCACAAGTGTGATTCTACCAAGAACTTGTCTGACCTGAACTAGTACACTATGTCAGGAGCTGTTCATCTCTAAAGGAGATGGAGTGGATTGAATCTATAACTTTTATCGCTAAACACATAAAGTAAATCCAGATTATAGGATTAAATTCAGAATTCACAAAATTCAGTGATAATTTTTTTTTTTTGTAAGCCAGTGGCGTTCTTCTGTACATATTTTTCCGTGTTAATGGAATTCAAAAGGCAAACCCCAAGAGACGAGCATCATGCCTTGGGGAAGGTTTTTTTTCAGTTGGGACAATGAACTTGCCAGAGTCAAAGGGAAGATAAATACAGTCAAATACTAACGGAACACCTTTTGGAGGGTGCAAAAGGACCTGAACTAAAACAGAGCTTTACCTTATAGCAGATCGATGGCAAAGCTATCTAAAAGCTTTAACTGAATAGTTCAGATCAAAGTATATCTTTATTCACAGCCACAGTAAGGAAATTTAATCTTCCAAGATGCTCTGCAGTCTTACAGATCATGGTTCTTTTTTGTAAAGAAGAATGGGGAAGAAATGCCAAGATGTGCAAAGTTTTGAAGACCTCCTATGAAGGAATTGAAACAAATGCAGGAACAGTTGGATTTTCATACCTATATATGTTAAAATCAAATACAAAACAAAAAATAATTCCTTCCACTTCACTATCACCCTGTTTTTTTGTTGAGCTGTTAAATAAATCTGGTTACAAAACACTCGCAGTAGTATTTCTCAAGGGACAGAGCTAAAGGAAATTCATTGGTTGGGAATACTTTTGCAAGGCTCTATACACACAAAAATTGGATTACCTACAACAGCTCTCTTTCTCTTGACAACAGCCTCACCGTCTTAATACTCTTATAACATAAGCTGGCATGTTTGCCAAGAATCTGCTGAATTGTCCGATTAGCAGAATTTGCCTCAAACTTTTCCAAAATATTCCTAATTGCTCAGTAGCCAGAGAAAGTGTAACTTAAACAGAGTTATCGTTTGTTAAAGGGAATCAATCAAAGCTTTATTATTTGTTTTTTCTTTGACCATGACCTTCAGTTGCTTTGGGAAAGATGAAGAATTTTTAATTTGAAAACAAACCTCTTGATGGCCTAGATTTCATTGGGACTAAAGACAGAAAATATTGTTTGTCATCAAGGTGACTAGTTATGTTCTTATTAACATCTTTGTTGTGTGTGTGTGTGAGTGTGCATGTAATAGATTTTGGTTTGAACCTAGTGCAAGTTCTTTTTTTTTTTTTTTTTTTTGCAGCTGTTTACATGATTTGTTTTAAGTAGAAAAAAGGGCACAAATGAAATAGACTGTCAAACTCCTCTTCCTGCCTCCAAATAATAATAAAAAAATGTGCCTTTGAATTCAGAAGTAAATTAACACCTCAAAGTTAAAAGTTGCAGAATAAACTTTCAGCGTTTTAAAATATGTATTAATTCCAAGGCCTAAATGTGCCCTCAATTATTTTACCATAGCCCCTTAAGTAATTGATTTTGGGCAGAGAAAAGCAGGAGGTGGAGGGGTGATCTGTGTTGTTATGAAAAAGACTACAAAACTAATAAATGGAAAAATAACTGAAATCGTAATTCCTGTGAGTGTTGTAACCTTGCTTTATTGATTTGCCTTTTTTCCATGAAAGGTATTTGGATAACAACATCAAAGTTGCACCCATGATAGCATAAGTCATGTAATAATTGGTCTATTTTTCATTTTCTTTTTCTTTCTCTCCCTCATTGAGGCTGTGGTATGGCAAATAGTAAACAGACAAAGACAAAAACATGCCCAGAGACAAGATAAGGAGCTTCTCAGGTGACTACATGCAGTGATTACCAGGTTTCTGGTGTTACCATAAAAAAACCTACGCTCTCTCTTTACACATACACATTCTCACACTAATGCACACTCCTAAGAGATCCTTGGTTATCACACCCTTCCAGATTGTTACAAACTACTTATGGAAAACACACACACATCTCAAGATGTGGCCACTCTTGCCAATATGAGCCCAGTGGTAAGAACAGTTATCGTGTTGTGTGTGTGTTGGTGTGTTTTTTTAGTATCTGTAAATTCCTAGCGTTGCTAAGGTGCTTTGGGAGGGGATTAACAGACGCTGGCGTCGACGAGCAAGCCTCACAGATTTCCAACAGGCAGGAAAAGGGACAAAGAAAGAAGGGAAAGATGGTGGAACAGCCGCGGCGGGTTAGACAACAGGGAGACGGCAGTAGCAGCTTGTGTAAACACAATGACTTAAGAGACGTAAAGAGGTATAAGATGACAGAACAGGTATACAAAACGCCTGGCCTGAACTTTCATGCAGGCCTGTGGGAATTTTTTTTTTATTATTGTCCTCCTCTCTCTATCTCCTTCATGTCTTCCTCTCCATTACTTCCCATCTCTACACCCCCCCTTCCCCAAGGACAACAGTTTCAGATCGAGAAGCTTTTGTGTCGCTTTTTCTTCAAACTTCAAACACTGTCAGCATTTAGGTCACGCTGATGTGCCCGGAGCGTTGGTGACTGCGCTGTCTCAGGTGAACATCTCTCCCAGCATGTTTTTTTATGAGGCTCTCCTTCCCTTTCTAATAATATGAGAAAAAAGAGTCAGGACACTCTATCTGCATTTTTATTTCTGCGTTATTCATCTGAAAATCAGTCAAATCTCTTGGAGGAAAAATGGTAAAGCAGCAACAACAACAACAAAAGTTTGCTTTTATAAATGTGGATACTCTTAAGATGCGCTAAAGCGTGTAGAAAGGTGCAAAAATGTCAGAGCTAACCAGTTTTCCACGATTGGATAATACATTGACATCACTGAATTTAAGATTTCTTTTAGAAAGGCAACATGAAAGCTGATCAGCAAAGGCTGTAGGTAATGCTGTAGATGTGACAAATATCTGCTGCTTTCTCCATAAATTTGGACAAAGGATTACTATGGAAAGTAAGAGGCCTTTTTTTCCCCAAAGAGAATATACATATTATGACTTAAATCTCTCAATTATGTATTGTATTTTACCTAAAAAAAAAACAGGGCATCATCAATATTCTCAACTCCAGTCAAACACGCTGTCGGCAGCATCATGATCTGGGACTACTTTTCTTGAAAGCTAATTAAAGTATTTTTGTGAAAGTGGAAGAAAAATGAAAAGTTAAACATACCAGGAGTTTTTTTTCAGTACCACCGTGAGAATAAGCAAACAGATAAATCAGTAAATAGTGATTTCATCAGCAGGCTTTAGAACAGCTAAATAAATAAATATAAACAATCACTTGCACTGTTAGAAATTACCAGCTTTCCACAACAGTATTATTTTACAGTATCTTGTTGTAATTGATTCCCCTGTAACATCTTATCTCAATGAATACTAGTAAATACTAGTCTCATTGGATTTTACAGCTTTTAATTCTTATTTTACAGTAAATCCACAAATCAAAAATAATAAATAAAAAATATAATAACAAGGTCTGTAATATCACAGAAGCACAGTTAAAAAATGCAAGGATTTCACAGCATTCAATAGTATTAATACAGTGAAATACTCCAGTTCATGTGCAGTTTCCCTCTTCCTGGCTGAATGGAGAAGGTAAGCAGCATGCATGTGTTTGTAGCAATATACTAATTTGTTCTAATATGATAATATTTACATTACTTTTGAAATAAATATTTATCTCATGACATAGTTCATATTTTGTTAGCAATTGCCCGGCGTTGAACCTTCTCTCACACCATTTGTTAGATAGTATAGCTAGGAAGACAGTGAGAGTGTGCTGCGCTACATTTTAGTAGGGTTGTCACGATACTAAACTTTTCAAATCGATACCGATACTAAGTAAAATATTCGATACTTGATACCCTTTTTGATACCACAAGGATAAAAACAAAGACTCTAAAATTCAACAGAAATATTTTCATTACTAAAAAAAATACAAGAAATAATAAAAAAAAACCAATAAGAACAATATTTTAAGGTTGTATGCTGTGCACAACAATAAGCAAGCTTGATAAAAAACTTACAAAATTAAAATTAAGTGTTCCTTCCTTGGCTATGCTTTGCACAAATAACAATGACATTGGCCAAACCAGTTAAACAAAAATAATTCTCAGCAGCTGCACCTCTTACAAAAAAAGTCTGAAACTGAAAAATGCACAGAATTATTCAATCACACAGGGTTCAGAAAGTGCATTTTCCACTATTCTGCAATTTAGATGGCTGTATCGATACTTTTGAAAATGAGTATTGTATCCGGATACAACGTTTCAGTATCGATACTTTTTTGAGTATCGATACTTTTGATAACCCTACATTTTAGTGTTCTGCTCCATATTCAAGTAAAGTTTCAGAGCTCAATTCTCCACTAATGAGCGGTCTCTCAGCACCTGAACAATGGAGTTCCCCATTTTAGCCAGAGCTAATAAACTTAAAAGGGCTTGGGCATTATTACTTGGCTATAAATGGCAAAAAGAAATGTATGGTAAAAAATGTATGAAAGACTGAACAAGTTTAGATTATAAATTTATTACAGTTTGATATGGAAAAAATGCACAGGTGAACACTTTGAGAAATTCTACCTGCAATACATCTAAGTGAAACTATCTTTGCTCGTTAACAGGTGCTTCCTAGGCTAATGATAACTTTATTTTAGAGTTGTTCCTTGGGTGCACTGGAAAAAATTGAAATCTAAATAAGTAATATTTTCATAAAACAAGTGCATTTTTTCTTCAGTTGAGGTAAGTGAGACACTTTGCCAATTTAAAAATAAAAAAGTAATGACATTTTCTTATTTCAAGTGCATATTATCTAATTGTCTTATTTTAAGAGTGAAAATACTCATTCCATTGGCAGATCATCTTATTTACCTACTCAAATGAAAGGTAAATACACTTAATTTAAGAAATGCTGACTTATTTGTAGATGGTTTTCGCAGTGTGGGTGGAGGTGCTTTTTTTTCCAGAATGATTGTCTTGCAGCAAAAAGGTTTTGGGTTTGATTCCCGGCCCAGGCTCTTCCTACATTGAGTTTGTGTGTTTTCCCTGCGCAAGCATTGGTTCTCTCTGTGTACTCTGGCTTCCTGTCCAAAAAACACGACTGTTAGGTTTATTGGCATACCATATCCTTCTCCTTGTGTCTGTGGGTGCATTGTTGTATGTCTCTATGTTGTTCCTGAGATAGACAGGTGACCCGTCTAAAGTGCACGTTGCCTTTGGAGATAGACACCAGCTTCACAGCGACCCTGACGGAGATGATAGAAGAAAGTTTTCATTTGTATTACTTTCACAGTAAACTGTTAGTATATAAAGCATGATATAAAATAGACATTGTAGATTACTGTCAACATGTACATTACTTTCACAATATACACTGTAAAAGTGAAGGGTCTTATTGTAATGATGTTTATGAAAAGGATGTGCTGTAATGTATTCTAATAACAATAATTTATTGTCACTGAAGCTGTAACGTTAGAGTTTACAGTTTTGCTTTAACAGCGATGTATTGCAATATCACAGGTACTGAATTACAGTAAATAGCTGAGTATGTTTTACAGTATAATGCTGTAATCCCTACTGTGAAAGTCATGCAAAACATTTCTAATCCTTTATTGTAAATTCACGGCGTTAAGTGGATGCAATGTGGGTATCTAAAGAGGACTCATAAAAGAGATGGTGTCACAGGTCTAACAGATTTGTTAAACTTTTTCAAGATAGAACCTGCACATGTGGGAGGCTGCTGCCTCTTTTTAAGTAGACTGAATGCTAAATCTTTAACAATTTTTTAGTTTAAAAATTTGCACACTTATGCTACTAAGTTTTTACACTTTATTTTTTTTCTCACAGATTAAATTAGTTTCTTTTAGTTTATTTGTTTTGAATTTGTATAAAGTTGAAAAAACTTCACTAGAACCAGAGGATCTGAAAAGGGTCACTTTAGATGAACGCTATCCTTTTAAATGTAATTATACATGATAAAAGTGATATTTTTACTATCCGGAGAAGGTGAAGCTGTAAGGACGGGTGGTCTACAAGCTGTTTTTATATTTATTCAATCCTGTCCCCAGGCTCGGCTTCTCAGGTAAAGTGTAACAAGATGCTGCCTGTTTGGAGTACAAGGCACTTGACCAAGGGCCAACACTGCTCCTCCTTCGCCTCCCACCCCCTCTCTCTCCTATCCTTCCCCTAACGGGGTCAGGTTACCCCCACCTCCACTCCTTCCTGATCCATCACTGACAGGTAATCTATTTTGCAGCCACATCACCGTCGGAGGAAGTCAAAAAGCATGCGTCGGTATATTTGTAAACCATCCAGACAGGTGTTTGAGACCTTGTCTGGGCCTTAGCAGCTGGGCTCCTGTAACCGTGCCTGTCTCAGCAAGGGGTTGGCTAGAGTGACTGACTTGGCCGAGGTGCGGAGGCGGCTGTCTTTCAACCACTGATCCCTGAGAACTACTCATTTGATCAGGCTGGATCTGCGCTTCGCGGCTGCCGGGGTCACTCAACCCAACCCCGGGGTCAAGCAGCTAATTACAGATCCCTGTGTCCTCCGTCTCTGTCACCACTGGGAAAATGGCGAAGGTGGGGAGAGAAGAGGTCTGAGAGGAGA